ACACGTGTCTTCAGAGCATCAATATCAATTCCAACATGTTGGTCCCTGCCAACACAGTTTTTAAGGCTAGAGTCACCTGAACAAAATTTGCTGAACCATTGCTGACACTTCTGAATGCTCAAAACATTTCCATAAACTTCTTTGGTATTCTTTGTGGCTACAGAGGCATTGTTTCCCTTGTTGTATTCAAACAGCATTACATGCTGAATGTGTGTCTTGTCGTGTGCCATCACTATAAGGGATAAGAGTATACTGAACTTTACACATTATATAGGTTAAACTAATGTCACGTTTAGGCAGTTTGTTTAACTATTATACGTGATGTACGTTTTTTGGGGGGTAGTTAATGCATTACAAAATGTGACATTAATTTCTTGACAACCTAATAAAAATACAACTTTTTTTAATGGAAACGTTTGATAACTGTTCTTTTGGCAGTAACTGGATGCATTTTGTTTTTCAAAATTTTCACCCAAATTGCTTTGCACTTAAATGCCTTAGAATTTCTTCCAATGATCTTTGCCCCTCTTGACACATACACATGCATGATATATGCAACCTAAGATCCAAATTCATTCTTTTAAGTTTCCTTAAACTTTCAATTTTATTCAATTTTACCTTTAAATATATTATAGTCTCACTATTCCCCACATCTAATCAGTTTTGTGTTTTTCACTAACGTAAGTTTTCATTACTTAAATATTTCTGTTTCACATTCTGCTCAATTCAATTTTCTCATAAGAATTTACTCTTTTAATGTCTAACTGATATTGCTATTTAAAAACATTCTACATTCAGTAACAGAAAAATATTTTGTATGTACATTCAAAATATAGTAATAACCATCATTTAGGTATGTATAAATGTTCATATTTCAATTACATGATATTCCTTTTTATGTTGTTGTTTTTAGTTTACTTATAAAACTGTCAGTGTTTGAGGAAGGTCTTTGACTCTTAAACCAAAACTGAACTGTTACATACAAACTATACAAATAAATTTAAGATTCTATAAAAATGTTTGATAAATGCTGCATTACACTATCATTTAAAGCTGATGGACAGTACTGCTCACGCACTGGAAAGGTATTTTTATATTTACATATTCTATATTCCATTCAAATTCAAAGATATGTCTAAGAACAATAGGTATCACCCACACACAGGTTTACAAACTAGAGCTCTTCCACACTTTCACCTTGAAAGTATGATTGTGGTCCACAATTCCATTAATCTTTATTACTGTTGCAGCAATTAAAAGCTTTAAATAACTACATAGTGTTTAACTATACTTGAATAAGTTAACTTTCAAGATATTATTTATTTAGACAAAATGATTCTGATTATTACAATAGGAAAGAAAATGGAAAAGCATGATTCATTTCAGAATAAAAAAAATAATATTAGGGACACAACTTTATATTTTAGTTACAAATTAAAAGAAAATAACTTACAGCAAAACCAAAATTCATATATATATATAT